TGCTTGGGAGGGTGGAGGGACGGCGCAGAAGGGGAAGACCCTCTAAGAGGTGGATTGATTCAGTGACTGGGGTAATCGGGATGGGTGTGTCAGAGGCAGTGAGATTGGCACAGAATAGAGCAGGGTTTAGGGCTGTTGTACATAGGGTCACTATGAGTCACAAGTGACTCGACGGCACATAACAACAACAACAAGGAAGATCTAGCATTTGACTCCTCTGGGCAACATGAGGGATCCTTGATGGAAATGTTCTATTTGACTGTAGCAACACCAGTAACATGGCCATATTATATTCTAGTTTGGTAAGATGTTATCATCAAGGGAAATAGTAAAAGGTTCAATGGATTTTTCTCTATTATTTCTTACAACTGCCTGTGAATTTATGGTGAAAAAATTTTCTTTATTTTTTATTTTTAAAATGTTTTTGCATAAAGAGTTAGATTTTCCTATTAGTCGGGGGACTCCTAGGTGAAATTCCCAGCAGGAACCCACTATGTCTAAGAAACCCCTTAATGAGCTCTTTTCACTTACCCTGCAAAGAGACATTTTAAAGTAAATGAAGGAAGCTAGATCCCTCTGCTGGGGGCCCTGGGCTGTTTCTGGGCAGGGAGGCCTGGTCTAGGTCTGCATTTCCTGCTCCTAGGCTGTGGCATTAACAGTAATCACCACTCCTGCCCTTCCTTCAAATTCAATCTCCCCCCCCCCCAAAAAATCAAACTCATTGCCCTCTAGTTAGAACCAACTCATAGCTGAACATCCAGTGGGTTTTCAGAGGCTGTGAATAGCACGGGAAGAGATTGCCCATTTCAACAGTGACTTGTAAATGAGAACTTTGAGATGATGTTTTAACCTATTGTCTTTGCTAGTTACAAAATTCTTCTGTAAAACTGAAGAAACAAACAAACAAAAAATGTGTTAAGCAGGCGACCCTGAGGATTCTTGATGACCATTATTATTGTCAGTATCAGTAGAATATTATACAATATTTCCTAACCTTATGAAGCAGTTACTAATTGTTTTTTTGGGGGGTCTTGTTTTGTTTGTTTTTTTAAATTTTTTTAAAATTAATTTTCATGAACGTGTACAGAGATTTTGGATTTCCATACGTTCATTCTCGCATTTTTCTCCCTGGCCACCCCTCCCCCCAGTTCTCTCTTCTCTTTGAAAAGTAAAAGAAAAATTATTTCATTGGTATAGAATCACCACCCCCACCCCGCCCCAAGTACACTCCACTATGCAACCTTCATTCCGGACTCTTGTCATAGCCATAATACCCAATTATATATCGCTTTCAAACAGTTGTCTCCCTCATCTGTTTCAATGCAGTATACACATTATGTATTATACATTATATCCAATTTTTCTCAGTCTTGCTCCAACCCTGATGTCGCTCCAGTTCTACAGTAGTGGGCGCCATGCAACACCTGTCCTTTTGTGACTGAGATAGTTACCATTAATGCCAACAATAGGGTCATTTGAGATTTCAAAGTTATTTTAGTGGACTTGGATTTGACCTAGCGGTAAGGAATTGTACTGCCAACCTCAGAGCATGCGGTTCCAATCCACCAGCTGGCTCTAAAAGATGGACAGGTCTCCTGTGCCATTTACAAACTCGGGAAACCCACTGAAGTGACTGGAGGGCACACAACAATGACCAGCACAGGGAGGCAAGGACGTTTGGGTCCAGAAGAAAATCCTCATTAGAAAGATTTATTGTAAACTGCCATCAGGTCTTCTTCATTCCTGTTAGAAGTTAATTTTCAGATATTTGAGGAAAGATCAATCAATGGAAAAGAGGAAAGAATAAGAGAGATTGACAACAGTGATTGCAAAAATGGACTCCAGGATAGTGATGATTGTGAGGGCGGCGCTGGACCAGGGACTGCTTCCTTCCGCTCTACTCGGGGGACTAAGAACCACAACTGACTCCACAGGTGCGAGCAACAACAGTGCTATATGATAATGGGGACCAGGTATTGTTTCACTGTCTTGTGCATGGGAGAGTCACCAAGGTTTGATATTATTTATTTTTATTATTATTATTATTATTATTATTATTACTATTATCTGTACCTCAAACTTTAAAGCACCTGCATATCTTAAAGCACAGATCTGGAAGCAGCAAGACCAGTGTGGGTCTGAGATCTTGCATTTTCCCCACAAGCTCCCAGCTGGTCCAGGGAGTTAGTTGCCTTCCAGTAGATTCCAAGCGCTGATATTTCAAGTCATCTTGGGATATGAGCAGGACGCCATGAGTAGGACGGATTAAGCAGCTTTTTGAAAAAACGGAGCCCTGGATATGTAAAAATAAAACACTTCACAGAAACCCCAATGGTCTGTTATGTGGAAAAAGACTGGAAGACAAGACAGTCTTTGTGTTACTCGAGCGCAGGGGGAGCCTTTCCAGTGAATTCCCTCCCTTTTCTCCACTTTCTGTCACACGGGCTAATTCAGCTCCACAAATATTTATTGAGTGCTGCCGCAGCGCCAGTTACTATGGGAGCAGAAATCAAGGAAACCCAGAGGTTTCCTCAAGGATGTTAAGACATTTTAAAAAATTAATTTTGAAAAATGTACTTGCATTTAGGTACATTTTATGATGTGTAAGCTATATCTCAACACTTTGGTTTAAAATGTCAACTAAATTTATGGTCCCATCAGAGGTCTTTTAGAAAATATTTTAAAATAAAAATTCCTCAATGACATTAGGTGGTCTGAATTCAGTCCCTGCATGTTAGAAATCCAAAAAGGTTCACTCTCTTTCAGTCTCCCCGGACTGGTGCCGGCGCCCTGCATACACTCTCAAAGCACCTTGTAACTATCAATATCAGTTCATAATTTCACATACAGTCCACATAAATTTCATATGTGCATGTCTGCCCCCTGACTAAGCTCCTGGCTTCTCTGAGGCTCGGGACTCTGTTGTCGTTGTTGTGAACGGAGCACCTAGGAATCATAAATAAAGTCATGACAAACAGCCTGGTCTATGGGTAGAAGACATTCTGTCCACATCCTTCTAGAGGAGAGTGCAGAAAGCAGCAGAAAAGAACACATAGTTGGAAAGACCAGACAATACTCTCACATTCTCTTTGCAAGGTTTCTAGGCAACACTATAGCCACATTCCTAAGGCCAAATTCAGAGGTAGGTGACAAGTTTGGGGAATTGACAGACCTAGATTCTAGGGAGAATGCCTCCATTTCCTCACTTATTTAGTAGTTGTCATTATGTGCCATTGAGTCATTGCAACTCATAGCAATGCTATGTATAATAGCTCTGAACCCTGACCTATCTTGAGCCAGTCTCACTGACTGCAACACACCTAATCCCATTGCCTCAAACACCATATCAATCCATCTCATCCAGGGTCTTCCTCTCCTGCGTTATCCCTTCATCCCCTTTCAAGCATAATGTCCTTCTCTAAGGATTGGTTCCTCCTGGTCATGTGCCCAAGTATGTGAGAGAGGGCTTCAAAATCCTTGCTTACAGGGAGAAACTTGGTTTTACCCTCTCCAAGACAGACCTGTTCGTTCTCCTGGTGGTCCATTGTATGTTCAATACTCTTTTCCAGCTCTCCAGCACCACAACTCAAAGACATCAACTGTGTGCGTGTGTGTGTGTAAAAGTGTATCCTCAAATCTGACCTGACTGGTACAGGAGAAGACTGCCCCTCCTTCTCCACAGAGCATCTGGTGGATTCGAACAGAAAACCTCTGGGATTGCAGGCAGCTTCTTGCCATTAGGCACCATAGCTCCCTAACACGTCAACTCTTCTTCTGCCATCCTTAGCCATTATCAGCTCTCTGACGCATAGCAAATAATAGCAAAGACTGTGGCCTGGATGGGGCGCACCTTAGTTTCTAGATTGATGTCATTGCTCTTTAGCACTTTGGAGAGGTCCCTGATGGCAGACTTCCCAATGCAATCTGCCTTTTGATTTCCTAACTGCTGGTGCCAAGAGTGGTGATTGTTCAGTACTACTCTGGATCATCTTCCCTGGGGGGCTGTGAGGAGTACTTAAGAAGAGACATAGGGGTCAAAGTGATTCTGAGGGTGCAGTGATTATCCCTGCCCTCTTGGCACACACACTGTCACGGTGCCTTCTTCACTCCAGCATTTTTTGGCAGTTTAGTTTCCTCCACTTTGTGGTTCTCCAAGTGTGGTCCTGAGGCCCTGCACCTGCCCATCTAATCAGCTACTGCAGAAGTGGGGCCCAGCGATCTGCATTTAGGGAGGCCTCCAGACAAGGTTGATGTGAGCTCAAGACACCCACGCTGTACCATGTTGGAAACCCCTGGGGAACATTCCCTCTGGTTTTGTTCACATCTCTAGCTCTGGTGGCCCAGGGAACTCAGGAGGCCTAGTGGTTAAGAGGTTGCGCTGCAATCTCAAAAGCATGTCGTTCGAATACATTAGCTGCTCCGCCCAAAGAAGGATGGGCAATCTCTTCCTGTGCGCGGTTTACTGTCTTTGAAAAAGCGCTGAAGATCAATTACAGGCAGGTTCTGACTAGAGGCCACACAAGAACCACAACCATGCCCAGTGCCTGACAACTGACGGGCTTGCAGTGAGTCTTTACTGAAAGGGCAACAATCCTGATCATGACAGCTAGTAGCTGTGGTATTGACAGCCTTCTAAGAGTTTCTGGAGGATTAACTCATGCAAGCAATCATTTTACAGAGTGAAACTGCGGCTCAGAGAGGCCAGGCTGCATGTGCAGCGTGTTAACAGCTCTGCTCCCCAAGGCGCAGAGGCCGAAGCTCCCCCCGGCCGTCCCAGGGCACCCTGGGGGTCCACGGCTCGGTCAGGCGTCCTGAGTCCCCCCCGAGTCCGCGCGCGTCCGCAGCGACAGCCGGCCCCGCCCGGCCGGGGGAGGAGCGGTTCGTGGCGAAAGTGCGGCTGCGGAAGCGAGTGAGGCAGCGGCGGCGGCGAAGGGAGAGGAGGAGGAGGAGAAGGAGGTGGAGGGGGAAGAAGGCGGCGGGGCCCAGGGCGAGCGGGCAGCATGGGCCGCCTGCACTGCACCCAGGACCCCGTGCCCGAGGCCGTGGCCGGCGACATGCAGCAGCTGAACCAACTCGGGGCGCAGGTGAGGGGACAGCCAGGCCGCGGGGTGCGCGCCCCGCCCCCAGTGCGCTAGGCGTGGAGGGGGGTTTTGGGGGGACTTGGCCAAGGGGTTCTGGAGTGTGTGGAAAGGCCGCCAGGGTGGAGCTAAGGGGAATCAGGGTCTGAGGAGGGGTTGGGGGTACAAGGGAGGGCTGAGGCCGAAGATCTGGGATCCGAGAGGTTTTGTGGGGACTCAGAGGTTGGAACTTGTGGACTTCCGGGAAGGAGGAGGGGGTCCTGGAAGAGAGGCTGCAGAGAGTTGGAGCAGGCCTAAGGGCCTTTGAAGGAGGGCGGGGATTTCATGGATCAGGAAGGGGCTGGCACATTATTTGGGAAGGAAGCCTGAGTGGTTTTGGGTCCCTGGGGGTGGGGTGGGTACAGACATCCTGGGGGGAGCCTGGGGGTGGGAGGTCTAATGAGGATGTCAGTAACGGCCAAGCCAGGATGAGGCCCAGTGATCCTTAATAGAGGCCTGACCCTGACCAGGCAGGATTGGAAGCAAGCTAGTTGTGACCCCTGAGTTAGAGTTAAGGGAACGTGATTGTCCCCAAGAGAAGAAGCCATATACAGAGAGGAACCTCCAAGAGAGGGGCGCAGGCAAAGCCATTTCTCCACATTCAGGCCCTGGGTGCCTGCCAAGTCCTCTGGGGTACCACAAAGGTAGTTTAACATCACACCTCACTACCACGCCTGAGGAGTAATTCTTTGCCTCACTATTTGTCTCAGGACATAAAGCTTCTTCTGTCTTTCATCTTAACGTGCTCTATTCATGGCATTAAAAGCAGAACAATTGTTTGCTCTCTTTCTTTACATTTATAAAGTAGTAATGGTAAGGACGATTATAATGACGAGCACATTCTAAATCTGAGGGTGGTTAGTAGAAGTAAATGTGACCTAACATATCCCAAAATTACCCCCAAATTCAACACAGAATACAAATTAAAAAACTACTTGTCAGATTTGGCCTCGTCAGAATACTAAATGTGGTGTATGCATGTGTCACGCACAGCCCACCTCAATTTAGAAGTGCTCAATGATTCCACATGGTAGCAACCACTGTTTCTCTCAAGAGTACTGAAGAGCGATGACGTCAGGCTGGAGACTAAGGTGCGCCTGATCCATGCGATAGTCTTCACAATTACGTGCTATGCATTGGAGAGTTGGGCAGTGAATAGGGATGATAGAAAGAGAATTGATCCCTTTGAGTTGTGATGCTGGAGAAGAGCATTGACTATACCATGGATGGCTAGGAGAACAAGCAGGTGTGTCCTGGAGAGGGTGAAGCCAGAGTGCTCCTTGGAGTCAAGGATTCTGAAGCTTCGTCTGACATACTTTGGGCATGTTGCAAGGAGGGACTGGTCCTTGGAGAAGGACATCATGTTTGGCAGAGTGGAGGGACAGCGCAGGAGAGGAAGACCCTCTATGAGATGGATTGCTTCTGTGAGTGGAATGGTGGGAATGAGTGTGTTTGAGACGGCAAGGTTGGCACAGGATAGAATGGCATTTAGGGCTCTTGTACATAGGGTTGCTATGAGTCGCAAGTGACTCGATGGCACATAATAACAACAGCAATCACTGTAAATGAGACACTGCACTCTTAATTGCTTTTATATATATTAACTCACTGAATTCATGCAACTACCAGAGGAGGTGGTGGTGTTATTAAAGTAGGAACTATGATCATTAAAGGGAGCCCTGAAGGCCTAGTGGATAAGGAGTTGCACTACCGACCCAAAGGTAGGCAGTTCCAATCTACCAACTGCTCCAAGAGAGAAAAATGAACAATATCCTACTATGCAGCTTTATAGCCTCTAAAAACCCACTCACTGGAGGGTAAGATGTGAGTTGGTGTCATCTTTTTTTAAAATTATTATTATTTTTGGTGTCATCTTGATTGCACAGAATAACAACATTAGTATTAACATTTTACAGATAATGAACTGAAACCCAGAGCTGCTAAATAAAAAATATCTGTCATGTGGTGAGCATGTACCAGACACTGTTTTATGTGGTTTTTTTTGTATAACAACGCTAAAAGATAAGTGTTGTTGTCAATCGTTGCATTTTACTTGGATCCACAGTCAACACCTTTGGTACCAGCAGTCAAGAAATTAAAAGACGTATTGCTTTGGGAAAACCTGCTGTCAGGGATCTCTCCAAAGTGCTAAAGAGCAGGGATGTCAGTTTAAGACTAAGGAGTGCCTGATCCAAACCATGGTCTTTTTCATCACTTCCTGTGCATCAGAAAGTTGGACAAGGAATAAAGATGACTGAAGAAGAACCTGTGCCTTTGAATTGTGGTGCTGGAGAAGAGTTGTTGTTGTTGTTGTTGTTGAGTGCCTTCAAGTCGAGCATGACTCATAGCGACCCTATGAACAAAAGGCCTGAAGCCCCTCTACAACTATCAACATTTAACAAAGTTCATAGAGTTTCTGGAGGCATGTTATTTAGGAAGTGGATGCCACTCCTGTTTATAAACCTGTCATAGTATGTTATTGTTATGTGCCATTGAGTCACCTGCTATGTGTAGCGACCCTAAGTACAGCAGCTCTAACCTCTGCAAAATGTGTTTGGGAGCAAGTGCAACCAGAGTGCTCCTTAGACGCAAGGATGGTGAAACTTTGTCTCACGTACTTTGGACATGTTATCAGAAGAGGCCAGTCCTTGGAAAGTGACATCATACTAGAAGGTCAGAGAAAGAGAGGAAGGCTCTTCACAAGATGGACTGACACAGTGACTGTAACAATGGACTCAAGTTTAGAGATGATGAGGATGGTACAGCACAGGACAGCATTCAGATCTGTTCATAGAGTTGCTATGAGTCGTGGTCAACTCGATGGCGCTTTCCAACAACATTGTTATTTATGAGGCTTTCTGGGGTCCATTTCAGAAATGATAGCCAGCCCTGCCTCCCAGTCTGTCTTAATCTGAACACTGTGCTGAAACCTGTCCACTATAGGTGAACATATGAGTATTTGAAGTACAAGAGGTACAGCTTCCAGTATCACACAGGCTCCTTTACACAACAAATTTACAGACAAATGGTAGACAATATTGCAAAGAAAAGGAATTTGAGAACACCTAACTGGGCTCATGTGGAACTTGTCCATGGACAAATAAGCAGTTAATCACACAGAATGAAGGGATATTACATGGTTTAAAATAAGGATAGGTGTGTTCCACAGTTGTATAATTTTTTCATACCTATTCAGAACATATACTGAATAAATAAACTGAGACACTAGACTGTATGTAGAAGAATATAGTACTAAGGTTGGAAGAAAACCTCAGCAACCTATGATATGCAGATGATACTACATTGCTTACTGAAACTGAAGAAAGTTTGAAACACTTACTGAAAAGGAGAAAAGGTAGGGGAGCTCTGGTGGCCTAGTGGTAAGGAGCTGCAACTCCAATCCCAGAGGCGCATGGTTTGAATCCACCAGATGCTCTGCCGGGGAAGGAGGGACAATCTCCTCCTGTACCAGTCAGATCTGATTTGACGGTACACTCACACAAAAATAATAAAATAAAAATTAAAAAAAAAGAGAAAAGGTATATAGACTTCAGTGTAGATTATATCTCAACATAAAGAAAACAGAAATCCTCACAACTGGACCAGTAGGCAACAATAAATGGAGAAATGATTGAAGTTATTAAAAATTTCATTTTACTCAACACCCATTGAAGCAGTAAGGAAATCAAACATTGCCTTGCATCGGATAAAGAAATCTATTGCCAAGAATCTTTTTAAGGTGCTAAAAAGAATGTCTGTCAGTTTGAAGACTAAAGTGTGCCTGACCCAAGCCATGATATTTTTACTTGGTTCACGTGTGTGTGGAAATTGTACACTGAACAAAGAAGACTGAATGAGAATTGATGCCTTCGAATTGTGTTGTTGTTGTTATGTGCTGTCGAGTCGCTTGCGACTATGAGTCTATGTACAACTAGTGACCCTGTGTACAACAACCCTAAACTCTGCTCTGTCCTGTGCCAATCGCACTGTCTCCGACACACCCATCCTGATTACCAGTTACCGCAGTCACTGAATCAAACCACCTCCTAGAGGGCCTTCCCCTCCTGCGCTGTCCTTCCACCCTCCCAAGCATGATGTCCTACTCCAAGGACCACTCTCTCCTTACAACATGACCAAAGTATGTCAGACGAAGCCTTAGAATCCTTGCCTCCAAGGAGCAGCCCGGTTTAACCCTCTCCAGGATGAATCTGTTTGTTTTCTTAGCAGTCCATGGTACCCTCAATAATTGTACTGCCAAAAAATACTGACTATATCATGGGCTACCAAAATAATGAAAAAATTTATCTTGGAAGAAGTGAGCAAGGAGTCTCTTATGTTGTTGTTATGTTGTTAGGAGCTGTTTGTTATGTTGTTAGGAGCTGTTGAGTATGACCATAGCAACCCTATGAACAACAGATCTGAACCCTCTCCTGTTCCCTCCCATCCACACACTTCCTGACACACTAGAGCCCATTGCAGCAGTCACTGTGTCAGTCCACCTGGTTGAGGATCTTCCTGTCCTTTGCCAACCCTCTGCCTTTCTGAGCACCATGTCCCCCTCCACAGAATAGCCCCTCCTAGCAGCATGCCTGAAGTATGTGAGGTGAAGCTCTATCATCTTTGCTTTTAAAGAGCACTCTGGCTGCACCTTCTCCAAGACATATTTATTTGATCTTTTGGCAGTCCATGAGATGTCCAGTACTATTCTCCAACACCACAGCTCTTCTATCATCTTTATTCATTGTTCAGCTCCCAGATGCATAGCAAGTGTTCGGATCAGGCACACCTTAGTCCTCAAACTATTATCATTACTCCTCAATAATTTGGGGAAATCCCTAACTGCAGACTTTTCAAGTACAATATATTTCCTTATTTCCTGACTACTGGTACCAAGGGTATTATTGATTGTGGATCCAAGTACGATGAAGTTGTTGACAGTTGCAATCTTTTCTTCATCTATTATGATG